AAGTACAGAAAACATGAAGCTGCCTACGCACACGATCACATACAAAAACACGCATGAAAGCCCAAGGGCACGCTTGAATTCTCATGGAACCACTTTGTAACACTATATGTTGTCTGCTTTCTTGCCTGGAATAGTGACGTGCTCACGGAAACAACGGAAGGAACTGTTAACTTATGTTTGACGCGCTCAGCCATTGGTGGTTGCGAGACGCAGGCTGCACCTTGTTTTTTTTATGTAGCTGTCATGCATAAGCACAAGGAAAATACAGGCGGATTGATGCTCCACTGTTCGCACAGCGTTCACGTGAGACGTAACTGACACTGATCTGCTTTTTTTGTTGTTTTTTGCATTTGTGAACATTCCGCGGCCTGTGTAAATTGCTCAGCGCAGTAATACAAATTTAGAGGCGGCCCTGAATATTTCTTTTATCTATTATACATTTCAGTGTCATCTCCCGTTATACACTGTCCTCCGAATGCTTTACCTAAAGAACAATTGTGTTCGTACTTGGTTACCTGCTGGATATATATTTTGCTTCCAGCAATAAGTTTTATGCCACTTTTTTGCCTGCACTTAAGTTACTCTTTGTTTCAACTGACTTCTTTGCAATATTGTAGCTGTGTAATGTTACTTAAGCATTTATTTTTATGCAGTTTTAAAGGGGAGCACCTCTCGCATCCTTGTTCTTTTGCACCTCATGTAGGTGTATATTTTTCTGTAATATGTTCCTTTTTTTACTTTGAAAGAACGCTCAAAACTTGAGATCCTCTGTAGGGGAAAGTCGGGAGGATTGGAACACTTTTCCGAAATGTATTATTATTTTCTTTATTTTGAACACAAAACGAGGTTCGCTGCTGTAAGATATGTGGGCAGATGAACAACGCTCATGACCTTAGAAATTCAGACAGACGTTCATTAGCGTCCGCATGATCCCAGAACGTAAACAATGGCTTCTCGTCGTTTTCTCCCTACAGTGAATTGACACTCAAACTAGAGTTGTGCATGGGCTCGGGGTAGCCCGAAAGCACGAGCCCAATTCTGCCCGTGGGCCGGGCTCGGACAGCCCGATATCTTTTCACCTCGGGTGCGGGCAAGGCTCGGGTCTCATTAAAAGCCCAAAATAAAGCCAAAAACATAGATGATGTGCCGAAATTCTTCTTGTTCATGTGTGCTTTCTTTGTAGAGAAAAAGTACACTTTTTGTGAAAGAAAAATATTTGCTTTGTCGTATTTCTCGTAGTTTCGGTGCTAATCAGCAGAAATTCACGGCTTTTAAAACTAAGGGCTGAGGGAACAGGACAGATATGCTCTTGACATGGGACTTCCCAAACGAGAAAAGTGGCGAGAATGTGACGACGGCTAGCATTTACGATGGCTGGCATAACCAAGAGAAAGTTAGCGAGTACATGCGTACTGAATCACTAAGCACATGCTCTAAATAAGAATTTTTTGAGTTTTGGAAAGGGAAAGAAAAGAACTATCCGAAACCTCCCAAACGTGCAAGAGAGATTTTGGCGCCTCCAGCTACAAGTGCCAGCAGCGAGCGCAACTTCAGTGCTGCACGGTACGTAATGCAGGAACGACGCACTTGATTGAAACCTGGGGTGCTATTCTGGACATTGTCGAATTCCACCATGTTGTCGGATTTCACCATTGATCGATGCTGATTGGCAAAATGAGCTGCTACGAACTCTTTGGCCTGAAATGCCGCCATTACTAACTCTGACAATATGGCGGAATAAAACAATGTCCTGAATAGCACCCCCGGATTGATAAACAACCTTTTGCTTGTGCATGATAACTTGTGAACGGTTTTGAACTTAGTCTAGACTTTTATCAACAATTGAAAAACAAGAAAGCTACAGGGATGGACGGCACGCTTTTTTCAAGAAATGAATTTTCGTTTTTCTGTTGGCATGAGCTTTATTGCTCCGTACATCTAGTCGGGCCAGGTCGGGTGGGGCCGGGCTTTCGGTATGAAATGCCCAGCCGGGCCTAGGTGGCCATTCCGCTATGCTCCATCTGGCCGGACTGGCCCACCTCCGGCAAGCATTGGGCCAGGGTCCAGCCGGGCCGCCAAATAGTGGCCCGTACACATCTCTAACCTAAACTTCGTTGATGAAGAGGTTTCTGTGCTCCCCTTGAACTTCCATTTCATTTTTTATGGCAGCCAGTGCGCTATCGTTTCCAGTTCTCGTCTCCTTTTATTTCGCATAGTTCATGTTGTCGTCTTCACAAGCCTTTCGGCTCAGCTGTTTAGGTAGCACAATCTAGATGCTTGACGACCCCTTTATCCCGAGCATACTATTCTACGCCTGCAAATCCTTGCTCGATGACCTTTAGTAGTGCATCTAAAGCATCTTCCTGTCGACACAGAGAAGTTTCATCTTCTCTGATAGCGGTAAGTTCATGCTACATGAATCTGTCGGGTGCTGCTTTGATTTATAAAAATCGCAGCTGCATTTTGTAGGACCAGCACTAGCTTGACAGTAGAGCACTGATGCTTTTGTGGTCGCGCTGTGAAAGTGATGTCTTTGTCGCTCAAATAGGCTATTTCGTCGCACGCTAAGTCACACTCCTCGAGGCTTTCTAGTTGGATTCAAAGTGAAGGAGACGTTCAAGTTCTGTGGCATGCTGAGCGTTGTTGGTACGTTCATGTTGGGTCGCACAGGAACGATGGTAAGCAACGGTAATGTCATGCAGCAAAGACCTCAGAAAAGCGTCACATAACATTTATGAAAAAGCTAAAGCCCAGCACCTCAAGAGCCCACGTATAATTGAGCCCTTGATCGTTGAGCTTGTGCGGTTGCACCACTGCCTGAGAAAACCGTACAAAAGTGAGCCTTGACAGCCTCGTGAAGTATTTTTGTTTAGAGGGCTTCTTGCCACCGAAACGTCTTTTCAACATTGCGAACGCGTCTTCGTCAGATGCTTCGGTAGTAAGAAGCCCTGCCTTGATTCCCGCCACGTCTCCTTTTAAAAAGAGCCTTAAATAATGAAATTTTTCTGTTGTGGTCAAATTTCATTTCCTGTTGTTAAGCTGGTAGAATTGATTCCAGAATGGGTTACACGTGCACAAATCACCTGCGAAATAAATATTTGTCAGCTTGTGCAAATGAGATCCAGGCCTTTCAGCAGGAGACTTAGCCGTCCGCTCGTCACAAACTTCGACTGGTGGTGAAACCACAGATGTATCGCCGTGTTATGAGCGCTTGCTATGAAGCTCGAATATTCGGAATGTGTTATCTTCATATTCGACAAGGGTGGCGCACTCCACTTCGAAGACCTCATCACTTCCGTGGCCTTCAATTTTTTCGTACACTTTCTTGAACTCGTCTTAAGACTGTCATAAACTGATTATATTTGTCGCCCCATCACGTCGTCATTATCATGTATGACACTTCTCTTTTGAACGAGCTTGGTGTTCTGAGCCCCTTGCGTATTTCTCTGGGTCTTGAGCTTGTCCATGGTGGTCAGCTGTTCGGTAGGCCTCCATGGTTTGTAGCTGTTACAGTCAATGGCCACCAGCGATGTCGCTTGACGTTGACTCCAGGCCATCGCTTCCCTGGTTTAACGCCGCCAAATGTAAACTATGTGGCCAGCTGATAAACTGACCCGGAATAAATAACTCAGACAGGCGTTTATTAGCGTCCGCATGAACTCAAAACGTATAAGATGGCTTCACGATGTCTCATTTCAACGAGCTCTATAGCACGCTGACGACAAGCTCCGCATTTTCTTCTTTCACGCTAAACGCGGTAAATTCAATAGTAGCTTATAGTACAGGTCGAGGTAGGCCACACATATACTCAGAAGCGCTAGTCCCTGCAACTTCCGGTGTAGCTGTAAAAACAATACAACAGCCAATATCTGCCCCATTTCGCTTCCCGCTTTGGGTGGAGTGGGACATCACTTGGAAGGTATGGGACATCTGTACACATTTGTCCAAATGTCTGATGCGAACGGTATAAGCCGAAAGATCTGCATCAAATTTAAAACAGGATTGCAGACGCTTTGGGCTCCCGATAGATTTTAGTGCAGGGAGCTTCATCATGAGATTTGACACTGGCACGGTACCAAAATCTTTGTGAGGAGGCATGTGAAAACTGGAGCTCTCTATTTTTTTCGCAGGAACTCAACAGCACCAAGAAATAATTATCATTGCTTTTGACTCTACCAGTTTAACAGATGTCCCATTTTTTTACGAATCCTGGCATGAACAAAATCACCTCTTGTAACTTGAATAGGTTTATTTGGCCAATACAGTTCAGAATCATCAGGCTTCTCATTAACAAAACCTAACTTGTTACTGTCAGAATTGTGAAAGACAACGGCCGCAGTCTCTTCCTAACTTTAAAGTTTTTGAAAGTTGGTACGCCAGTGAGCGAACCTGAATCCTCGTAAGTCCGTAATGCATTTTGCTAGCCTTCAGTAGATATTCCTGCATGACCACGGCATCATCTGCGATGAAAACCCTTTCGCAAACCATGTGGGACTTGAACAAGATGTTATATTGGTCACCGCTATCCTTGTGCTTCTGGATGCTCGGCCAATTGCCGATTTTCATATCTCCAGAGCTTCTGTTACTTCGCTCATACTTTTCCTTTGGTCGCACACTGACCTCGCAGCATGATGTGTCAAACTGTTCGATGCATGAGCATTATCGAAATGTTTTGTTTCTTGTTCACTCAGGTATCTTTCTGAAAACTGAAATGAACAATAACTTGCAAATGCAAACATTCACGCACGCGATTCACGCTCAACTTTTTCTCACCTAATTTAATGAGCGTAGTTCACCGTACTGCTACTGTAGCTGACTGTTCGCGCTTATCCCACACAACTCAACAACGTAAAGGTAGCTAAAGCTTTCTAACGCAGCAAGATCAACATTTATGACGTCTTCTTTGTACAGGCCTTGTTAGCATCGATTGTATTTAGTATACAAAATTACACAAATGTACAAAATTATACAAAATGTATACAAAATTAAATGGTGCTCACCGTCACGGTTGATGCCACACTGGAAATATTGACAATGGTACCTGTAAAGTTACGAAATAAATTGAATGAAATGGTATGGTATAGAGAGCGCGTGTAAAGAGTCCGTCATCATAGAAACTGTATGGAATGTGCTGTCTGCCAGGGACATACCTCAGTGAGTATCGAAAGTGCTAACAGCAGCGTTATATTGATGCCTCGGGTGTACTGTCTTAATAGAACGATACAATTTTGAGAAACACTGTAGTAGAGGGCTCCGGAAATTTCACCAGAATTGCCTAGCGCAAGAAAAAAAAAACACAGCACACAAGCCACACACACAACAAAAAATTGCTACTTACACCCACGTGTGCCTCTTTGGTGTGCTGCTTTTTTTTCGTGAGCTTAGTGATTCATCACAATATGCATAAAATTGGCCATCAAAAGTCCACAAATTTTGACCTGCTGGTGCTGGTAATGTGTAAGGATATCGTGGAGCACACGGCCCTTGGCAAAATGCGAGCGCCACCACCGCGATGGAGCCCCTGACTTTCGAGTGAGCAGCCGAGCATCGTAAGTCCCACAACACAACGGCGGACGTGAAGTTGCAGTTATATATGTAACGCATTAGTCAACTGTTTAGCGGGGATTGTTGGTCTGCCCGTCAAAGTTAAGAAATATTATTTTCAGCAATTTTCAGGTAAGGGTCTCTCAAGATGCTGAAAAGATTGCGTGATGAGATTTCAGAAACCTGTGGACACTGGGGAATAGAAAGTTGTTAGGAAATCAGCCTTCATTGTTGTGTAGGTAACCTTGGTGTACGAGCTCGAATTGCAGGCAATAGTGACAGTGACTATCTCCCAGTGCACATAATTGTGTTGGACTCGTTCGGTTACATATTATTATGCGTTATTTAACGGTAGGAAAGTAACACTTATGAATATTACTTCATGTGCCTGAAGTGAGCACGTAATGAAGATGTTTTGTTTTACCAGTGCCTCTTTTTCGTGTCTTGTTATTGTGTACATTGTCAGTTTGACTAGCTCATTCATGTTGTTCCAATAAAGAGAGGTGTCACATGCCCGTTATTCCTTTTTGAATACTCTTTATGCCATTTTCACCGAGCATGGAATTACGGGCCCTCTAAAGTCTGATTTACGGCTGTTTTTTGTGTACTCACTGCTCCATCGAGCGTGTTAGAAGCGGAAAATAACCATGATTGATATTTTGATCAATCAATAGGTGGCGATGAGGTGAACCTGCAAGACATAACCAGTGGCTACTGACATGAGAGGCATGGCAGCCACATCAAACTTCAACCGTTTGGGCTAATTTGCACCAGGTTCGGGTGAGGTGGCAGGTTCTTATGTTTAAGTTCTGAAATTTTAATTCTAAACAATTGACATCCCTCCTCCAATAAAAAGGAACGTTCACGTCAAAATACGCCTACCCGTAGACCGAAGACGTTCGGTGGAGGCCCGGCAGATTCATTTATTTTTTATTTCATAATACCCCTAAAAGCCCCCGAAGGGGTATTACATAGGGGAACGGACACATGAAACGAATCTTTGTACGCATATACAATGTAAAATCAATATTATACAAAATAAGAAAAGCGAGCTAAATACAAACAACAACAACAACAAAAACCAGACACTTTGGAAAAAGAGAAAAATAAGTAGAAATAGAATATTGAATACTGTAAACATATATTAAGGGCACTAACAAATAAAGTATACAAGGAAAAAATAAAACGAAGGCATAATCCTAAGATACAAAAGTTCGCAATTAACACATAAATAATACAAATAAAGCGTGTACAATGGTCGTGAAAAACATAACACATGATAACAAGAAAATTAAACAATGATGTACATATGAAGAAGCTTAATGAGAGTATGCGCTGTGGATATCTAGTCGGAAATGTTGTGTAAAAGTTCGTGAAATGTTGTGAAATCTGCTTGAGTAGCAATGTGGGATGGCAAGTTATTCCATTCAACTACTGTTCGGGGAATGAAGGAATTAACATAATGAGCTGAGCGACAAGTTATACGTTTTATCTTGAAGATATGGTCTGTGCGTGGAAAAAATACTGTTGGTGCTTCGAAGATGTGGTGAAGGTATGGGTGACGATAGAGTTTGTGGAAAAGCGACAGGCGGGCAGTTCTGGGGCAATGAGATAAGTCGTCAAGCTGAGCGCGAGTTTTTAGTGCTGAAATGCTAGTATAGGGTGAATAATCGGAAAATATGAAACGGGCTGCACGGTTTTGTAAAGACTCTATTTCTTGGGTTATGTAGATTTGTGAGGGATCCCGGATAGCTGATGCGTATTCGATTTTAGGATGTATTAATGTGATGTATGCTAGTCTACGGAGATTATCTGGAGCATGCTTGAGGTTGCGTTTTAGTAGGCCTAATGAGCGGTTAGCAGATGCCAACGTTAGGCGGATGTGATGATGCCACGTAAGGTCAGACTAAGTGAACACGTAGGTACTTTTACGAAGTTGTCAGTTGAATTCTGTTATTATCGATTACATAGGATGTCGGAATGTGGTGCATGCGTTTTGTAAATAATAATAACTGTGTTTTAGCTGTATTAAGAGTCATCAACCATGTTGAACACCATTTATTATTTGCGTTAAGATCAGCTTGAAGAATAACTTTGTCATTGTCACATGAAATTATTCGATATATTACACAGTCATCCGCGAAAAGTCTAATGTGAGAGGACACGCAGTTAGGTAAGTCAATAATATAAATTAGGAAAAGTAAAGGCCCAAGAACGTTGCCCTGCGGGACACCGGAGGTTACGTTGGTGGATGAGGAGGTGATGTTGTTAACAGATGTGTATTGTGATCTAGATGAGAGGAAATTTTTATCCATCCATTAACAGTTGGCTGTATATTCGAGGAAGATGGCATCAACTTGAAATCTTAGGTCTAGATATGAATGAATGTGATGTAAAAAGCCGGCTAACTGCGTTTTGCATGAATAACCCCGACGAAAGCCATGCTGGTATTCAGAAAATTGTTGTGGTCTTCTAAGTAGTAATGATTTCAGTGTATAATACGTGTTCAAGTAATCTGCAAATAGTACTTGTTAGAGAAATGGGGCGGTAGTTCCATGGGGAGTGCGGTCCCCGGACTTGAATATGGGTATGACTTTTGCTACTTTCCAGTTACTCGGAATAGTGTTAGTAGATAGAGACTGCGTGAAGAGGGCACACAGTATAGGTGATAAGCTAGGAGACAAACTTTTTAACATTTTGTTATTAATGCCGTTGTGGTCAGATGCCGAAGAAGTTTTAAGTTTATTTAGTAAACAAGAAATTCCTGCCTCACTAATGATTACTTCAATCATAGATACGTTGATTAGATTGACAAGGGGGGGTGATGATGTGGTGTGTTCATGTGTAAATACGGATGAAAAAGCGTTATTCAATAGATCCGCACACTCGCAGCGGTGAACCATATCGCCGTGCTCATTAACAAGTGTTATGTCAGGGTAGTTCTTCGGGTTTATTACACGCCAGAAACGCTGAGGATTGTTAGTGAGCATGGAATACAAGTCATGAGCAAAGAACTGTCGTTTCGAAGATTTTAAGAGTGATTGATATTGCTTATCGCAGACCTTGTAACGGTGCCAGGAATCGGAGAGGCGGTCCTTATCCGCTGAACGATATAAACGCTTTCTCCTATTGTTAAGGCATCGAAGCTTTATGATAAACCAGGGTGTTGTCGGAGTGCGGGCTATTATGGTTAGAGGGACGAAACGACTGAATAGGTCAGTGAGAGTGGTTTTAAACATTAACCTGTTATGTTCAATGGTTTGAGATTGATAATTATTAAGTAAATCTAAAGAAAAAAACATGAAGCTCAGAGTTTATACTGTCGAAATCGGCTCTATTATAGCATTGGATACATTTATCAGAGCACTGGCGTCTTGGAAGGGAAAGTGTAAGACTACCTGTTATGATGTCATGATCAGAAATCCCATGTTGATGAGATAGGTCAGAGCAAACTTCTGGATCATTGGTTAATAGGAGATCTAAAATAATGGCTGATGTAGCCGAAGATCGCGTAGGACGCGTGACAACTTGTGTTAAAGCAAAATTGAGACATGACTGCAAACATACATGAGCTTCCAATAGGTAGGTTGTTGTGGAAAGGTTAGCCCAATCGATATCGGGGAAATTAAAATCCCAAAAATTAGTAGCACAGAATTAGGAAAACGAGTAGTAATAATTACAAGAATCCGTTGGAATTCCAGAGAAAACGTCTTGTCCATGTCAGGTGGTCGATAAATGGCACCAATGATTGTGAGACCTGCTTTATGTTTGATTGAAATCCAGACACACTCTAAAAAAGTGTCGAGGAGAACAGATGTGGCGAGAAGATCTTTTTGCACTGCTACCAGAACGCCACCACCTATTCGATTTAACCTGTCGCACCTAAAGAAGTTAAACGAAGTCCAACTATCCAGAATGCAGTTATCAGGTGCAGTATCGGTGAGCCACGTTTCAGTTAGTATCACTAAGGAGGCTGACCATGAGTCAATCGCGGATGATAGTGGTACTGTTTTCGAGAGGGCACTTGTTTTGTTAGTGTACAGGAATGGAGTAAGGCCTTCAGCGTCATTCCTCCCTGATAAACGTCGAGTGGACGGAAACAGGTGCGATTACATGACACTGATCATTACGTTGCTTTTTTTCACACTCGCGTCACGCATTTAAGGTCGTTGTCCCATATATAAACGTCATCATTTACAAACAACTTGTTGAACACGAGTCGTACACGATCACCGTCCTTTCGGATTGTTTTTGAAAATTTTAGAAGGTTGCGCCGCTTGTTTCGCACAGCTTCAGAGCAGTCACTTGATATGCTAAACGGTTTGTCTTTTAGTTTGTAACCATAGCCAATTATAACCTCAACTTCTTTGTCACTAAAAAAATTTTGCAATAATTGGTCCCTTTTTATCGTCAGTAAAGCGGCCTAACCTGTGTGCTCTTGCTACTGAGGATATTTTCAAACCAAGATTGTTTTCACAAATTCCCGAACCAGGCGTT